CCCTCCTCACCGCTCCATCCCTCTCCCCGTCCCCCTCCCCAGAACCCAGAATAGCAACCGCTTGCACAACAGGGGCTGGACCACACTTTATATAAAACTAAATTATAGCTTATGCGAAGGGAAGGAGACCAAAGACCCATAATTTCCCTGGCTATAACAAGAGGTCCTACATGCAGGCAGGCAAGGGCGGGGAGGGGGGGGCGCGGGGGGAGAAGAGAGACCTCGGACACTTCATTATACTCAATATAACAAGAGGTCCTACAAGCAGGAGCCCAGGAGGAAGGCAGGCAGACCTCACACGTGTAATTATAGGGACTATAACAAGAGGCCCTACAAGGGAGGAGGAGGGCCCCATCCGCACCCTGGGGTCGGCAGGAGCCTGGACATGCTGCAGAGGGGCTGCAAGCAGCCTGGAGAGATGCTCGCTCAGCTCCCAGCCCCCCTACATCCCATATGCTCATCCACCTGCCTCAGTTTCCCCATGGGACCATCCTCTCCACTCCCCCTAGGATGCTGATCCAGCTTGGGGCACCGGAGCTCCTGCGACAGGGGATTTGCTGGGAAGGAAAGCTCATCCCAGTGCAGAGCCCTTCTCGCAGTTCTCTGTTCTCCTGCGGGATGCCCCTGCAGGCTGGGTGATCTTGGGGCTCAACCAAGGGAAATTCAGCAGCTCCATCTGAATTTTGCACAGCAACGTTGGCTCCAAATCCCAAGCAGAGCGGGAATATGTGAGCCCCAGAAAGGAGAAAACACATTCCCACACCCCTGGGAAAGCCCAGGACAAAACAGAGAGAAGAGAGCAGGCTGTCATCCACCTATAGGCGTTTGTGCATAGGCGTGGTGTATAGGTGAATAATAACCATGTGTTGCTGCATCCACGTCCTCTGTCATGTCCCAACCTGGACCGGCCTGTCAGACCTGCGGCGTTTAGTCAGCGCCTGATCTAAAGCCTGTTAAAGCCAGACATGAACCCCCCGATGGTGGAAAAGCTCTGGATGAAGCCCTGAGGCAGAGGTGCCCGGTGCGGAGCACAGAGGGTGCAGCTCCTGCGCAGCCCCCGGGAAAGGATCTGAGCTGCCAGGCATCGGCATAGCCCGGGACCTGCTCTGGTTTCTGCTACAAGATGCCTGGAGGGTGCTCAGGGCTTAAAAATCAACAGCCAAGACTTTGGGCTTGCCCAGAGCAGCCCCACCACTGCCAGATCCTCTGCCCTGCTCTTGCCCCCGAGGTCAGCGCTCCCCTCCGCAGCAAGTGATTTACACTGGGAAAAAGAGTTGGAAAATCAGATGCTGCAGCAGGAGAAGGGCTGGCGGCTGCTCTGTGCGTGGGGAGGGCTCCAGCTGATCCCTGCCTCTGTCATGCCCGCCTGCGCTGCCTCCATCACATCCCTTGCCCCCTGCGTGCCCATTCCCGAGGGACTGAGGACAAGGATGGTCTGTTTAGACCCTGAGCTCTGCAAGAAATCAGCAGCACGGGGCCGTAGGGATGGCGAGAGTGCTGGTCCGCCAACTATTGAGACAAGGCTCGTTTTTGCCATGTCCACTTCACCCATATAATTACCCTGCACAACAAGAGGTCTCACACACAACCGCAGCAATGCAGGGAGGAAGATGGCAATTAAATTAACTCCCACTGGAACAAGCTGGCCAGAAGAGAGACAAAAATAGACAGGAGAGAAATTTGGGTAAGCTGGTCCTTCCTTGCCTTATACAGCCTCGCTTCCCTGTTGCTGCATGTCCGTGGGGAGCGTATGGAGGGCACTGACCCCCCAAGTGCATGGCATCCCCCGGGAGCGAGATGGAGAAGGGCTGTGTCTGCCCTCACGGTCGCAGCCTGACCCCGGGGCAGGGCTGGGGGCAGCCGGACACGTGTGGGCTCAGCACAAACCCTGCAAGCTCCTGCCCCACTGCTGGTTTGCTGGGACCGGGTGCTTCCCAGGCACCTTCTGACCCCCAGGGAAATGCAGCGGGAATGCACAGGGCAGTGCTTGTGCCCTGGGCATGCACGAGCACAGCAGCTCCCAAACACGCCTGGCAAAATGCACCCAAGGAAGAGGCCATCCCCGCTGCTGGCACAGGGAGAGATGGACAGACAGACCCCCAGCATTGGCACAGCTGCTGGGGCACAGGCTCATCCCACGGCTGCCCGGCTCCCCCTCCTCCTTTAAACACCCCCCAGCCCCTGCTCACAAGGGTGCTCACGCTGCTCTGCTTGGCACTGCTAGGCACCTCTTACAGACCAGGACGGACACACGTACACGACCTGCGGCTCCGCAGGGGTCCCGTGCCCCCTTAGCTGCGTGCCCTCATCACCCCCCAAGCACTCGCTTTGGGGCACAAAGCCCCCGAGGTTGGGGTTCCTGCTCCCCAAACCACACCAAGCTGAGTGGGGAAAGAGGCGCAGGGAGAAGCAGCTCCATCCCCCATCACTGTGGCCTGGCAGGGGGTCCCCCAGCAAGGTGAGGCCCTGCCGGGGTCCCCTGTCCCCGCTGCCACCAGGGCAGGGGCCGGCTCCTTCCCTCCCCTGCTATCGCCCTGCTGCCGCCAGAACAAGACCAGGCTTGACCTAAATCTGCTGGATTTAAAAGCAACCACAAGCCCAGGCAAAATGCAGACAAAACCCTAGGGAAAGCCAGCCCTCGGGATGGGACATCCATCCCCTTCCCCGCCTGCACCCCCATAGCAGCTGCACCCCCAGCCCCTTCCCGGCCGGGGCAAATGCTCATCACGTGGCAGAGAAACAGCCTGGGACGAGCATCCAGGCCTCTGCTCCCCCATTCTGCACCACCTTTTATAAAACACAAGGGAGAAATGAAGGTAACATGGCACAGGGAGAGCGACTCGCCTGTTTTGTTTGTGAGAACAGAGATAATAAGGCATTTAAAAATAATAAGCCAGGCTTCACTAAATCACAGCACTGCCGTAAGGTACGACAGATGAGAAAGCCGATAGTCCTGGAGCTACTTTCTTTGCCTCCTGGTTGCCGAGCCCGGGAGATGCACGTGGGTCAGGTTTTCTGACTGTCCTCCCCATTTACAAAGTCCAAATGCACCCGGCATAAAAGCCCCGAGACACCACTGAGCTCCAAAGTCCACTGAGCACCGCAAGGTTCGAGAAAAAAGGAGGGAGAAAAGCTATAAAGAAGCTGTAAGGTTTCATCGACTTTAACCAAGTATCTTGTAATACTCCTGGAAAGTCCAATGTACAAAACGTCCCTCGGGGAGTCTGCAGGAGCCTCTGGGGTGGCAACCACCAGACGTTGTCCTGATCAGGGGAAAAAGTATTTGTGCTTTGGGTCGGAGGCATGCTTAATTCCTGATGAGCTTGCAGGACTGAGCTAACCCATCCCCGAAAAGCTGGGCAAACAAAAGGCAACAGCAGCGTTGTCAGCAGCTGGTGAGAGCGCTTGGCCATGCTGGGACGGGGCAGAGCTTCTCCAGCAGCACAAACAAGAGCCACGCCATGGCCACAGCATCTCAGGGCCCACAGGGACCTGCGGGTTTCCGTCTCTGCGGGTGGTTGTGGTGCCCAGACCCCCAGCTGGGAATGTCCAGAGGATGTGGGAAGAGGCAAAGCTGAAGCCACATTGGGTCAAACCCACCCAGGTTGCTCCATGGCTCCTGCTCAGCTTTCCTGAGCTGTAGCTTAATGCAACGGATGATCTGCCTGGCTGCTTGGGATCTCTCATTTATCTGCTCCTCCTCTATCCAAGTGGCTCAAGAGGAAGAAATCTGGTGGTAGGAGATGGATGGACACCTCCCTAGCGTGCATGCACCCATCACCGCTGCCCCACGTGTGGCTGCAAGCCAGCGACAGGCAGCACGGGAGAGGAAATCACCTCCAACACACAGCAGCTAAAGATGGGCTTGGACTGGTGAGCTCAGAAGCAAATCCTGCCTCTACAGCAGCATCATTTTTGGATTAGGTGGTGTCAACCCATTGCAAAAGGGAGGAAGAAAGGGTCTCGACATGTCTAGATCCATATCTGAGCTCTTCTGGACCTGAAGAGCATCCAAACCTAACGCCGTGGGTCACGACTCCTGCCAACATGGAGATGCTCTCCTGTCCCCCCTTCTCTCTGCCTTCAGTCCCTCGGGAATGGCTGGTCAGGGACGAGATAATGTTGGATGGAGACACAAACAGAGACAGTCTAGCGAGGCATCTGCCATTAACAACACTCTACCTTGCAGCAATATTTAGTTTGGGAGCTTTCTAATCTGTTTTATGCAGATAAAATGAGCATGTAATCTCTCTTGGTTTTCCTGTACACGCTGCCTGGCCCAATCAGGTGCCTCTCTGACCTATTCAAGGGATAT